GACACAGAGGACAGCACACAGCTAAGAGGAGAACCCAGGAGGCCCAGGGGAGGTTTGGAAGACCCTCCAACTTAAGAAAAAATGTCGAGGAGGGCAGGTAGGTGCAGGCCTTTAATCCCAGCATTTGGGAAGCAGAGACAGGTGGGCGGGCGGATCTCTGAGTCTGAGACTGCCTAATCTACAGAATGAGTTCCAGAACAGCCAGGGCTACAGAGAAAAGCCCTGTTTCGATAAATTTTAAAGGCCTTTCAGTGATGGGTGGGGTAGAAGGGACTCCCTGGCAGCACAAGTCAGCCAGCTGCAGGGGTGAACAAGCAGAAGCAGGAGGAAGCCCAGGGGACAAGCCCACCCTCGGACAACCAGAGGCAAACAGTGAGCCTAGTTTCCCTCCTGCAGGCAAGAACTACAGCCTATACTTTAGGAGACTGAATGCAAGGGCATGACTGCTCCCAGGTAAGCTGAGGAGTAGATTTACTATAGATATGAGGGGAAGCACAGCCAGAGGCCTCTGAAAGTATAGAGAGTGAACTGGATGGGGGAGGGGGACACTTGGGAACCAAGAGAGCATGTGGGAAACAAGAGGTCAAGAGGGCATGTAGCCAAAATAGCTGAGTTGTATAAGGAAGAGAAGCTCAGGGGCTGGAGAGGTTTAGGGTTTGGGGGGAGGGAAAAGTCAGCCAGGATAACTCTGTACCAGGTAACGGTGAGTAGGGAGAGACTGGTGGCCAGAGTTGACTTTGGTATGTTAGACTAGGCAGCTTGGTTAGCTATTTGTCTCTCTGAGACCTAACTGAAACCATCCTACTACCCTTCTTTCCCCTTCTCCGGCTCTCCCTCCTGCCTTCTTCCCTCATTCCCCTGTTTCCTGACCCTTCAAAGGACATGCTTTACCTTTTGAGACCCTGTGACATCCGCCTCAACCTAAAAAGGCAGGTTAAAAGGCTCAAAACTAGAGGCTACCACCACAGACCAAAGTGTTAACAGCGACAGGTCTCTGTCCCTCCCTGTTCCCTGATCCAGTGCTGCCCAGGGCTCTCTGCAATGCTGGCTATGGGCCCCCTGCACACAGAGGATGGCACAGCAGTGACTGAACAGATGTAGATGTGAGGCTAAGGAACACCACAGCCCAGCAGGCAATGGAGCTGGACCTCCCAGTGCCGACGTGGAAGAGGTGGGAATCTTAAAAAAAAAAAAAAAAAAACACCCCCCAGCCATTGATCCTGAGCCGGAAGCTGGCCAGTGTCTGTGAGCCTCAACTTCCTGTTCCACAAAATGAAAGAATGAAGAGACATATCAGCACAGAGGAGGTCATAAACACAGTGCCATACCACAGGGTAACGCTGCTGCTGTCCTGATGATCTGTAATGTCTAGGAGCTGAAATCGGGAAAGAAAGCAAACAGAGTTTTCTCCAGGGTCCCCACCAAACTTCCAAAGGGTTTTGTTGTTGTTGTTGTTGTTGTTGTTGTTGTTGTTGAACTCCCAGAAAGAAGCTATGGGTGGTCATCAATGAAGTGTCCACAGTCCCTTGTACCCCAAGTCCCAGCAACAGAACAGTCACAGCCCAGATAGGGCACATGAAAATGAGAAAAAGACCGCATGGCAGGGACAAGGCAAGCAGAGTACATCATTAAATGGACAGACACCTCACTGCCTGGCCCCAGACCCGCAGTCAGCGCCTGGCTGCCATGCAGCCCAGCTACCCTTGGCAATCTCCAGGACAGGACTTATCTGAACTAAAACCTATTATCTTTAATGTAACTCTTCGGAAAAACACCAGGGAAGGCAGCCAAAAAGACACTTCCGGAACTAAATTCTGGATCCCTCACGACTTGCTGGAACTGGTAGGGTGAAGGACCAAGAACAGGAAGAAAACACTTACACTAAAAATGACAAGAACCCCAGGATTCATTTCCTTGCGGACTCCTTCAAGCGATGCCTCAAGAGCCAGCCACAATCCTCCCAAAGCGTTAAGACGACACAAGGGTCAGGCCTCACCCAGGCGAACTGACAGTCCTGCTCTCTCTAGCCTAACCCCAACAGAACCTGGAGGAGAGAAGGCAGGTGCAGGAGCCATCAGGTCAGCTCCATGTAGAGCCAGAGCCTCCGGACCACCGCTGGCTGCAAGCGGAGCAGGCACCAAGATTCACACTCTTCTGGACAGACCTTGGAAGCGATGCCCCCTGCTATCTACAAATGGGGCTTGGAGAATCCCAAAGCTGCATCCTGGTGAAGACAGATCAGAGACACACCCACCCTGCTGGGCTCCAGAGTTCCAGAGCTTAGCTACCAGGCTCTAATCCTCCTAAGGTGCAAATATTGTGTCTTTTACAAACAAAATCATTTTTTTAAAAATGCAAAGGGAGAGGCTGACACCTCCCTGTGACAATCTGGGTTGGCCCCTCCTAGCACTGGTGACCAGACAATGGTAGCAGCGTCAATTTCTATCTGAGGGAACACTACAATGGCTACCCTGTTGGGCACTTCCCACTCCCATCCTCCCTCTCTCTTTCTCTCCCTCCCACCTCTCACAGTCTCACACATCAGGGTCTGAAGCAGTGGTTCTCAACCATAATCTCGACCCCTTTGGAGTCAAACAACCTTTTCACAGGGTCCACCTAAGAGCATCAGAAAATACAGACTTTGCATCACAATTCATAACAGTAGCAGAATTACAGTTATAAAATAGTAATAAAAATAATTTTATGGTAGGGCATCACCACAACATGAACTGTATTAAAGGGTACAGAGTTAGGAAGGTTGAGAAATGCCGGTCTAAGGGCACTGGGTTAGGTTATCCATTCACCCAGCAGCGGTGTAGGGGAGCCTGATCCGCCCAGTGCACCCTCAGGACTGGACAGGGACTGAAGCAGCAACAGGCAGAGGTGGGCTGGGGGTCCTAGGAGCTCCTGTGGGGCAGAGCATGAGACTGGACTCCACCCCTTAGCTTGGCTACAGGGTCTGCACAGCAGGGTTACCTCCAGCCCCAGCACCCCACCCGATGACTCAAGGTCCAAGTCCACAATCCACTCCCATTTCCCATAAGCATATGCTGGGGCAATGCCAGGGAAACAGGCTAGAGGCCAAGGGGAAAAGCCCTGGTGTAGCCCCTCCATCCCTGCACGGCACAGGCACAGTGCATTCACTGCAGGGTCAGAGAGCTGTCTTGTCAAAACTGCTGACAATGACAAGGGCAACCCTTCTTCATAAACAGCTTGACCACACAGTTGGCCGAACGGATGATGAGAGCTTAATCCAGATTTATGTGTCTTACATCATGCATTCCGCCATAGCAAATTAGAATCAAAATGAAATTATATGAAATTATACACAGAACACTCCAGGGCTGTGCTGTTGAACAAAACATAGGTTTGGTTGGATGTTCCCATCTTTTTCTCTATATGGTTACTCAACATCTGGGGTATGGAGTGTGTGTGTGTGTGTGTGTGTGTGTGTGTGTGTGTGTGTAAGTCATCAGCTCCTCCTACCCAGAGTGCTGTGGCAAATTCACCTCAACCACTTCCAGGAACAAGACCAAGAGAGAGTCCCAAATAGATCTATCAGATTGAAAAGCCACTCACGGAATACCAAGCAGGGCACCATTCACACACCCCAGCAGAGGGAAACACAATTCTGTATGTGCATGATAATGCACCAAACTCCCTGCACCTGCCCTGCAGTCAGGACCTCCATACATTACAGAGACCTTACTACATACTACCTGGTCCTGGCAGCTTTCTGGAACCTTAATGCAAATCTCCAACACCCCACCCCTTCATTCTTGCATGCTTGACAAACCTACAAAATCACGCCCATGGCGCCAAGTTCTGCTGATAGCTAGAGACCTGGTCCCCCAAGTCAGAGCTGCAGTGGTCTCTATATGCTTTTATAGCTGAAAGAAACCTCTAAAAATTTGACACTCATAGAAACAGACTCAAAATGAAGACTCCCAGGACATAGAGACCTGCTGGGGCCAGTGGCTCCCAGAAACCTAGTCCTGAGCACTGATCTGGCTCTGAACACCATGTCGCAGGGAAGCCCCTTGAGGGACAGGTCTCTCAACACTTAGAACTGCAAAGTTTGCTCTCTCAAGCACATCCTGGATGGGTGGGCTGTTTCCCCAAACACCCAGTCCCTGAGGATCATCCTCAGGGCAGTGAGGGCCTCTGCCTCTTCCACCAGCAGGCAGCAGCAGCTGGCTCAGAGGCCAAGTCAGCTGTGGGGGGAAGGGCGGGCAGCAGAGAGGCTTGAGGAGACAAACTAGATTACAGGTCTGCACTTCAACCCCCCGTGCCCCAACCAAAAGACATTACAGTCACGATTCTCCCCAATAAGAGTGACAGAGGGCTGGAGGCATGACTTGGTTGTTAAGGCGCTTAGCTAACATATATGAAGTCCCGAGTTTGATCCCTGCCACTGCATAAACCAGTGGTAAGGAACACCCGTAACCCCAGAACCCAGGAAGTGGAAGCAGAATGACCAGAAATTCAAGGTCATCCTCAGCTACCTATGGAATTCAAGGCTGACTTGAGCTACAGCAGACTTTGTCTTACAGGGAGGCAGGCAGATCTCTGAGTTTGAGGCCAGCCTGGGCTCACAGAGAAACCCTGTCTCAGGGGAAAAACAACAACAACAAACAAAAGATGAGTTACCAACATTTTTGATGGCACCTAATGTCATCACTCCACACCCATTCTCATCAGGAAGCCACCAATAGTCATAGCCTCTACGGCCTTTGCATCTGCCTGGCCTAAGGTTCCTCTCTCTCACCAGGGGGTGGCCAGCACTCTCAGCTTTTAATGGCATCCCCTAGATTTAGATGCAGGTGGTTCCCCTGACTGAGAGAGGGAGGATCCACCCTTCTGCTCCACCCTGTCACACACGCCTGGTTTCAGCACCTTCCCATCAGTGACACAGCTCAACAGGCACGGGGTTGGCGGGCAGCCAGCCTGTGCGGCCCACGTGACCCAGTGCAAGCGCGTGTGTCGAGGAGCCCACTCAC